AATGTGGAATGTCTCACGTTAGCTCAGAAAGGCCCAAGGATACGAGCACTGCCCGATGTGCCCTTTGAGACTGGGGGGGACACTTAAAAGTGAGTTTCGGAATTTAATATAACATGTTTGTTTTTATTTAAAATGAGAAAACAGTGCGTTCAAACGCCAGCAACTTCATTAAGAAGCAGAAGCAGCCTCATAGCGTCAAAGGTGGGGGTGAGGGTGGAGGCGGCTAAGACCACGCCCCCTACTCATAAAGGCTGAGGGCCCCCCTTTTTAAATTCATTTTGGTGTTGGTACAAAACTTCGTATGGTTTGCGCCACAGCAGAATTCAGCGTGGACAAAAGCTGAGCGGTGTCGTTACTCATTCTGTTTGGTGTGTCGCGTTTAAAGTCCGTTGAACAACAACAACAACAACGGTGTCGTGCCACCCATATTAGCTGTTGTCTTACCTCCTCCCTCCATCCCCCCCCTTCTCAAGCAAGGCCACACTACAGGGCCGAGTGGAAGTGCCATGGGCATTCTGCAACAATAGAGGTTCGCCTGCATTGCGTCGGTGATGCAGACCCGCTTCCGGTCGGAGTCTGGAGCCGGAGGAAAGCGAAAGGAAAGCAATACAGGGGTGGGGGGGGCCCCAACTTGCCTTCAAATGGGTCTCAGCATGCCAATTGGCACCCATATTACTACAATAAAACATTTGTTTCCATTTTGATTTGAAGCTTTCGTGACTGCAGTAATTCATATTCTTAGCTCTTTCGGTAAAGTCACGTTGAAGGGAAACAATAAAATAATAAAATATATTTACTGTTTCCCTTCAACGTGACTTTACCGAAAGAGCTAAGAATATTTGTTTTCATGTTTTGATTATGTTTCTTCTACCTGTGCAGACGTAGCTCGGGGTCCCTTCAGAAGTGTGGAAGAGGGACGGAGGTGAAAGGTGGCCAGATTTTGTAATATTGGCCGTTTTTTGCCGATGGACTGTGGATACTGTCTATTTTCGGGAGGCAGAGGTGAACACACTGCTAAACCTTCGTGCATGGCAAAGCCTGCAGAACCAAGGCTTCGGTTCGCACACTTTTCACGGGCGAAAAGCCACACTTTGTTTAATTTCGTGTGCCAACATTACGCTACTACCGTGGTCGCACACGAAAATCTTAAAAAGAATTGGATGTAGCAAGCATTTCCACAACCGTACGATCGTATGTATATATATATTTTAATTTAGCATAAAAAAGTATTTAAGGGTAGATATCATGCAGTGCTTCGGGTGGCGAACACATTTTCCAATATAACCTAAACGGCAGCGAGGGGCGGTGAATTAAAAGTTGTAAATTTTTCTAAACTTATTTTGAGTTGCAGTTGTGGGGAATTTTTTTTGGTGTGTTCAAAAACATTTACTCGTGCCTACGCTGAGTCAGAGTCTGCAACTCGATCAAGAGGCAGCGTGAATAATTCAAGGGCTTACAGGTCTCACGACTTTGCAAGATTCATGACGGGGGCCTTGGTATTTTGAACTGAAATACACCCAATTGTTCAAACTTTAATATCCACCTCGCTATTCCTGGGAGATAATTACAGTATCTGGCCCGATGCTAAATGTTACGGAGAATTCACGACGCACTTTCGCGATGGATTTCGCCCTGGGTACGGGGTGGGTCAACGCACCCAGCTGCATCGCACAAGTCTCATTTAATTCCCACAGCATTAGTGTACCGTCGCAAGCCTGTCATTAACTTAATGACTAGGCTCGGGCCCACGTGTCTTTGAAATCGTTGCCTTTCTCCTACTTTCGTTAACTTCACTGAAAGAGAATGCATTCTGCCAGTGTCCCAAGCGCTACCAATTCTGGAATGACACCATTGATACCTTAAAGCCCGTCGCCGGTCCACCGCACCTCCGATGAGCATGGTTGACTATGTACGGTGCGAAAGAAGTGCAACGTATGTACGTGCAGGATGGGCGAAGGTCTCCCCCTCCCCACGCACTGTGTCGGCTTTGGTGCTTGTTTGACCCATACTTCACTGCACTGGTCTGTACAAATTCTGGCGTGATGTGAGATGCGTGTAGCGGCAGCCATGTTCAATTCTAGGCTGAGTGACTTGCATCGGATGCCTTCGAAGGATACAGATGTTAAAAGCAAACCCCTTGGACCTTGTGTATGAATTCGCACATTAACATAATAGTCAACACGTAGGCTTTCGCGACCAATATCCATAATACGGGTTTTTTGGGGTTAGATCGTGTAAATATATGTGTCGTTAAACCCGCCACCACCCAACACAGCCAACTAGTAAGGTTTGTCAAATCTGGCTGTTTGCCTTTTTTTTTATTTTCAAGGTCACGCCTCCTCCCGGTTTTACCCATTTGTTGTTAAACTGAAGGCAGTGCGAATCGAAAGACCGTTGCTCAATATTTACCGGTTGATCGGACGGAGTTGAACAATGCGTTACGGTGCGATAGACTGAGTTGCAGCGGCGGGTCATAGACGCAGAGATGAATAGGAACCCGAGCGAGCTGTTCGCATCGACAGATTGGAGTGTGATTAATTCTAGATTTGAAGCTTTCGTGACTGCAAGGATTAATACTCTTTGGTTTTTTCGGTCAAGTCACGTACGTGACGTACGTGACTTGACCGCTGTGACTATTCCACCTGAAGACGGAAGCTTGTGTTGCCTCCGAAACGTCGTGATTTAATTTAGTTGTTTTCTTTTATTTTATTTTACCTACGTGACTTTACCGAAAAAAACAAAGAGTATGGAGTGTGATTCTCAGCTGTTGACTTTTACACCAGGAGGGACAAATTGAGACGGCGTGACCCCGGAAAAAAAACAAAACTGAAACGTCACTTTTTGCAAGAGCATACTTTTAGTGGCACCCGAATGCTCAGCTCTCTCTACATCCATCGTTATTGCTTGATGATCTTTTTGGTTGACGCATCTGACAGCTGTAAAATGTTCATTTATTTTGTTGATAGAATTTTCATTGGTCTAGTAAAAAAAAAATGCCTGCATGCACACTCAATCACTGTGGCTTAAATCGTTTGGGTTAATATTTTTCATGCCTTCATTTTTACGTTTGCTAGCAATGCCAGTGCATGACCTTACCTCGCATGTATTTTACCTCGCAATGCGTGTGGCTCCCTTAAAGGCTCCTAAATACAATTACATCACTGCAAGTTCAACATACACACACGAGCTTTTTTGCCCGTCCAAGGACGAGTGTATATTGCAGTAAATCTGAAATATTCAATGGAAAAATTGTTCCGCTCATGATTATTAATGAGGGGATGAGGGGGGGGGGGTTGCCCCATGTGTGGAGTGACGTCACCTAATGGTTATTGGGGAGGGGTGTAGCATTGGAGTGACGTCACCCACTCATGATTATTGTGGAGGGGTGTGGCATTTGGAGTGACGTCACCCACTCATGATTATTAATGAGGAGAGGGGTACGGCATGTGGAGTGCGCGACCTTGTGCGTTAGTGTAAAAATCCACCCACTCATGAATATTAATGAGGGGGCGGTGGGCCTCGTGGAGTGACGTCAAGCGAGGGACGGACAGACATTTCTGGGTGATTCTAGTAGGTAATACATACAAATACACCCACCCACTGCAGTTCATCACAACTGTTAGTTCCTCTCCACACACCGAGGTAAAGGGGCGGCTCCTGCAATTGCTTGCTCACAACACTGCTGGCGGAAAGAGCATCCGCTAGGGTCAACTCTAGCCCAGTGTTCTTCACTGCAAGGCCCCGCGGGCCACTGGTCGGGCCACTGGTGGGCCCCCCTTGTGGCCTTGGCGGCCCCTGACGTGTGGCCCACCGACCATACACAGAGAGTGACAACACCCCCCCCATCATCATCGTGCTGCTGTCAAACCCCACAATGGTTTCAAATGTGTGGTGGCCCTCGCACACTGATGATGTCTTATCGGCGAAAGTGGCCCTCCCTCCCCCCCCTGAAAACTAGTGACGGACGCTGCTCTAGAGGGGGTGTTTGGTCCAATCGTCTAGGTTAACCGGGCATGTTGGAAGAGAGTGGGCTTACCCGCATTTTACCCCACCACACGTGTCCCACCAATTGACCGACTGTGGCGCGTACTTATTTATTCTCGTTTGCGTGACGGTCACCTACGTTTGCAATGCGCGACGAGCGAGCGTGCGATCGACTTTGCCCGCACGCTGCCCACAAACTCTCTTGCAGCTCGCTGGTTTTGTGGTTGCAGCCGGATGAATACACCCCCACCCCATTTGCTTGTTCTTTTTTTTTACACAATCATCACGAACACCATTGTGGAGAAAAGGAATAACAACATAATTCACGCAGGCTTATATGTCTCCTTCACATGCGTGTCCCTCCACGTAAAAAAAGAAAAAAATCCACGATTTTTCTTTTTTGACGCCCTATCAGCTGCAAAGGCCGTCTGGAAGTGCATAATTTCAGCAGCATTGATTTAAACTGAGCAATTAAACAACCGAAATTTATTTTATTGAACTGCTGACACTACTGCTGAAATTACGCATTCCAAGACGGCCTTTGTGACTGATGGGATGTGCGTGTTTAAAAAAAACAACAAGAACAACAACAACAACAACAACATATTTCACGTGGAGGCACGGACATACGACTTGGGACGTGTCATCCGGTGAATTGTTTAGCCTTCTTATTCAACTGGAGCAAGATGAGCGAGTTGCGCGTGCGACGCATCCTGCAACCGGGAGACTCGGGGCCGCTTTCGGATAACCGCAGTGACGTCGATCGATACTCGGGAAGCCACGTGGGGCGAGCAGACCGTCCCGCTCCGTCGAGCAAGACCTCAACCCCCACACCCCCTCCTCGTGTCGTAGCCGAGTGCCAGATGCGTGCACGCTCATTGACACCAGGGTCATCATCGCGCGAGAGCCACTCGATGTTTCACTTAGCGCCTGCGTGGCTGCGCGGTCGGCCGCAGCTTTGCCTTGCCCCCCCACCCCCTCTCCCCGCTGTCTCTCATCTCTTGCTTCATTTGCAGATCATCGGCGTGCTGAGCAGTGAATACATCCCCGAGGGAACGCGCTTCGGTCCCCTCGTGGGGGACATCTACACCGAGGATGCAGTCCCGAAGGAGGCAAACCGGCAGTATTTCTGGAGGGTGAGTCCGCAGTTGACGGAACGACCATAGATATGCGGCAGGTCTGCCTGCCTGTCTGCCTGCCTACCTGTCTGTCTGGCGAGATGTTAACTACCGCGCCTGGTACGCAGGAGTGCGTGGGTTCGATCCCACCCCTGACGCCTGCTGCTGTATATTTGGAGTTTGCGTCTTTTTTCTCTCCCCACGGTCGCGTGGATTTTGGAATCAATGTTGCGTTCTAGAGTATTTGGCTTTCTATCAATTTGCCACAGGACGATAAGCCGCTTCGTCGAGTTACCATTTGTGGCCAGGTCGCTTCTGACAAAGGGCTACACAGCTCAGTGGGCCTCACGTGGTAAAATAAAAATCGTTCAAATAGTTCGCAGCTAGCCTTCTTGCCTACCTGTCTATCTATCTATCCACGTGTCATCGTAACAGCGCGTCAGTGTAGCTGTTTAATTCGTGTGCCATCCGCATGCTCGTGCATCTGTTCGTCGTACAGCAGGAAAAGAAAACCAGACCCCTCCCTCCCCTGTGCGTCTGACGATCGCGTTTGCGCCGTACTCTCGTTCTGCGGCGGCACCCGGAACCGTGGAGCTCGCTGCCCTTGAGAACTTGTGCGAGCCGTGCATGTGTGTACGCGGACCAATCTCTCGCCGCCGTACGTAGCCAGCCGTGCTAATCGGAGGCGGCTCGGCCGTAACCAGAGATCTGATCGGCGCGACTCGCCGGCGCCGGCTCTCCGCCGTGACCTCCGATGAGCACGGTTGGCTACGTGCGGCGGCGGGAGAAGTTCAACGCGCGTACATGCGTGACAGAGCGGGGGGGGGGGGGGGGGGGCAATCGTCATAAGCCGGCCCCTTGAGCTATCTGCACGGCGATCGTGTCCGCCTCTGAGAATTGTCACGTGACCGACAAGTTGGGCCCCATGTTGCTCGATTGGCCGTCTCACTGATTGAAACCGGGACATGGACCCTGTTAGGTGGGGGGGGGGGGTAACATAACGCAACAATAAATCCCGTATCTGTTGGCGGAATGTTATCGGCACAACTTGCATTTGTTCCGTACAAACTCTTGCTGGGCACGCGCCTGACTTTTTAGCCGTTTTATCTACAACCAACCTCCTCTGAGGCATGCCAGCGAGATGAGCATTAGAGCTTCACTCCTTTATCCACTATACAGATGATTAGACAATTCAAGGAGTTACAATAAAAACCCAACCGAGATTAGAATACAAGGTGTTTGTCACGTGATGCAAGGTGTTTGCATCACGTGAGTTCCGCCAGCATGCAGAGCGCTCAAAGCTCCTTCGCCGTGCCGGGGTTAGGGCCACTGACCAAAGAATGGTGGGCCCCACCTCCCCCGACCGCGAGAGATGTCCGCACGGAGCATTCCATTGTTGTCGTGGGTGACAGATTACATGACAGCGGAGAGCTTGGAGAGGCGGTGCTTGACCTTGAACCCACACGTGCCACTTGCGTGTCGTTGTCATAATCATGATCTTCATCATCATTATCATTACTGTCATCGTCGTCATCGCGTGTCATCCCCAATCCAGGGCCCGGCGATATATTCATCTTCTCCATCTCTTCTTGTCTCTTCGCCAGTGCCAGTGAAGCTCCAACCACCTCCGTGTGTGTTGTCCAGGCACCTCGCTTCCCTGTCTCCCATGCGATCTCTTGCCCTCAATTCTCAATTCCCTACCCCGTAAATGCAACATGTTTTTCAAGCCCTCTTGGCCCACACATATTAGCCTTGCTTATCGCCATAACCTTTATAAGTGCATGACACTGGTGCGTTTGCTTACGTTTGTTTGCATTGTCGATGATCTGTTTGCTATCAAAACTATGAACTAAACTATTTTTATTTTAAAAGGTAAGGCCCACTGAGCTATGTAGCTCTATTTCAGAAGCGACCTGGCCACAAATGATAGCTCAACGAAGTGGCTTATCAAAGTGGAAATTTATAGCAGCCAAAAACTCTAAACGCGTGATGTTGTTACTAAATGTGGAGGGAAAAACCGGAGGACCCGGAGAAAAATCCACATGACCACGGGGAGAACACGCAAACTTGAAACACACAGGTATCAGTGTCGGGATTGAACCCACGACCTCCTGTATACGAGGCGAGTTCGTTAATTTTCTCTTCATGAGCATCTCCAGAACGTATCTCCCGCGCATCACCATATCGCTCTGCAGTGTACTGACTGTAATTAATACGAGGCCATGCATTATTCATAATCTCAAAATTCAGTGGGGGAGGCAGGGCATATTTGTGGGGGGTGGGGTGGACCCTGCTCAGGGAATTGCTCAGTTGCCTCTGGTGTTGAACTACTGCTGCTGCTAAAATATAGGAGTGGTGTTCATGAGTAATAGCTCATTGGAAAGGTCTATAATATTTATATTATTAATATTAAAGAGACCGGTTTGTCCAGCTTCAAATGAACGATGAGTGCTATAGTATTTTCAGGTATGCGTGCCAAAGGGTTTTAAGTTGTTGCTGTTGTTTTTTTGGCACCAATGAATCTCTGCACCACAGTTAAAACGTAAACAATCTCCTTGTCGTTCGTGGCTGCTTCTCCCACGGTTCGTGGCTAAGCAGCAACAGCAGTAGCAGCAGCGCTGGTATGTGCATGCCAAGAACACGGCACTGTGGAGAGCAATCGACTAGACAACCTTACCAAAGTTTGTGCATTTTATTTGAATTCCTTCTTAGTGTTGCCCATCAACTTTACTGTGGGGAAAGTCCCGCATTCACTGCAACTTACCCGCACGCATGCTAACACAAACGTGTAACGCGCGCTCACGCATCTACATATTGCTATCGGCTTGCGCAAGTAACGCATCTCACCAAACTAAATTCCAGCCATTCTCAAGCCACCGATAGATGAAGGCGGGTTCTTTGACTATGCACGTCGCACTGGTTAGTGTGGACTGGCGAAGTGAGAAAGGCGAGGGCAAGAAAGCGGTTCTCACATCACTCGCCACTGATGTTAGCCCGTGGCCTGGGGGTCAAACTGAAGGTGGCCGGGTTCGTAGCGCGCTGCGCTGAACCACCGTATGCCACCGCTGTGCTTCATTCAACAAAGTTGCGAATTGTGGACAGTCCTCGTCTTCCGTGTACATCGCTGAGATAGTGGTGGAAATTCCATATTCCTATGTCGGGAGTTGTGAGTCTATCCATTATCTAGATTGAAAACTCATTTCTTGAGAGCTGATTTTTGTGTTTAGTTTGTTGTCCTTCCCCTTGCACCTCCGATTAGCCACGGATGGCTACGTGGGGTGCAACAGAAGTTCAACAACACACATACGTATAACCACTGTTAACTTCCATGCAAAAGTGGTTTTCAAACTCCAGGCAGGATGTGAACTCGCAACCTTCTGAATTGACGAGCTGTTCGCTCCACCGCTGAGCCATCGAGCTGGTTATATTTCATTGCTGTGCTTTGCGCACACATTGAATGTGGAGCGATATCATCAGAACGAGTTATATTTGTGTAGTGTTCGATTTCACTCGGACAACTTTTGTCTTTCTTCGAACACCGCTTTATTTACAACTCTCCGCATGTCCTCAATACTTCACAGTATCCAGGTCGCCACGGCTCGCTCGCCGTGCTTCACTCGACTCGCTGGCCACCTTTGTCTCTCCACTCCCCACGATCACTTCGCTTGCTCCACCGCTAACTTCTTCGTCTCCGCTCTCCGCTATCACCGTCACTATGCTCTCTCCACTGCTAACTACTTCGTCTCTGCTCTCCGCTATCACCGTCAATATGCTCTCTCCACTGATAACTGCTTCGTCTCTGTTCGCCGCTATCACCGTCACTATGCTCTCTCCACTGCTAACTGCTTCGTCTCTGTTCAGCTTCGCTATCGCTACGCTCTCTCCACTGCTGGCTGCTTCTCTTCTTCAGCTCCGCTATCGCTACGCTGTTTTCCAAGCTCCGTCTCCAACTCCGTCTCCCCTAAACTCTGTCCTTCCAACTCTCTGTCTCCAAGCTCTCCACACTTCAACTCCCCGCCGTTGACTCCAACTTCAATTCCCGCTGTTCACTCCAAGCTCTCCAACTTCAACTCCCCGCTCCAATTGCCGACCCCCCAATTTATCCCCGCTCTCATCACTCCCCAATTAATTAACCCGCGTCCCAACGGCACTCCGCGTGACCGTGCACCTGTTCCTCGCCAGACTTCAAGACGCCCCTCCAGCCTTCGCAACAGCACCAACCGATCACAGCCGTCCTTGGCTCTCCCAGCTTAATTGCCCTCACATAACCTGTACTGTATTTGCCTTCGCTACAGGCTGACCCAACATAACCCGTAATGTCTGTGTTATCATGTAATCACGCTGTTTCCACTACGCACCTTCCTACTCCACTACATCTGCACCCCAAGCAATGTGCACCCCTAGCACCAAATGCGTCCTTTTGCTCTTTTTCGTGTTTGACTTCTTGGGAGGAAGAAAAAAGCCACAACGACACGTCAGCAGAAGCCAGCCTGTGTTTACGTGCACGGTCTAAAAACTCCACGACTTTACAATGCGAGCCCTCACCGTGTCTCACTCGCTGGGCAGGCGAATTCGTTGTTAAGTGTCTGCGCAAAGATCTCAAACAACTGCAGGTTCAAGAGCCTCCGATTTGAACGGTTAAAAAAAAGTCGACATGTTCGATAACGCTGCCAAAAAAAATATTTGTTGGGTGATATTTTGTGTGGGGGTAGTGGGACGAGGGGGGGGGGCAGGTGGTGGGACGAGGGAGGGGACGGGGGGTTGGATGGCCCTTATTCATTTGAACAAACAGACATTCACATCATAATGGTCGTACAAAGCGAACGACATTATACTGTGCGAGAGCCGGCTGGCACATGGATCCCAAGCCATCGCCATCATCCGCGCGCGGTCTTGCAACGCGGCAATCTATCTGGCTCCTGCCAATGAACCGATTTCATTTCTCCGTCTCTCCCCCCTGGTGGTCGTCCCCTGGAGGTTACTCCCCGGGAATGTTCCATCCTTTGGCTGTGGCTGGC